AAATAAATAAATAAAATAATAAAATCATACAGGTATTGACCTTAAACAAAAGTCAGCTAGCTATTCCTCCAACAAAAAGGGCTTTTGGGAACAAGAGGGAATTGCAACTCAGAACATGCAGCCATTGGGAGCCATGCTGCAAGTCCCCAGCAGAAAGAAGGAAAAGTTCTTTTATAGAAAGGAGTTTGGAGGGCTGTTATAACCAATGAGATGTTCCTGTAGGGCTTTGCCATCAATTTAACAGTGACAGCTCTCCCTATAGGCCCTCCCTATTCCAATCTTGGTTGAGGCGTTTATTTATTTATTTATTTATTTTCACAGCTAAACTTATCTTGCACTTTAAATAATTTTATCATTCATGGTTTTATAATATCATGCATTGGTTATTTGGAAAATATGGGTTCACTGACTTATGCAGATCTTCCAAATGTTGATACATTTCATTATGAAAAATCATATTCATTAATATCATCATTAATCTTAAGTATTGGGAAGCTGTGAAGTTCACAGTAGCAGATACAAGTTTTACAAAATTCTGTTTTTCTTTTGAAAACTCTAATTTTATATTGCAAAAAAAAATTACTGTCGTTTGTTTTTGTTGAATTGACAGTCTCACTTGGTTAATTTTTGAGGAAATACCTGCCATATCCCAAAGTCAGCTTGTTGTTGGAAAGTGGGCCCTTCTCAGTGCGAAGTCCAGGTCCTTGGCAACTCGAACAAAGAATTGAACGAGATGCCGGAGTAAAGTACTGAAAAAGTAGTTTATTTGAAGAGATAGTACATTTCAAAGAGTAGAAGTAGGCCCGAGCAGTAGAGAATGACTCAAGGGCCCATTATTAGAAGAGAAATTACATTCCAAAGAGTTTGGAGCAGGCTACGCGCAAAGGTGAGGCTCAAAAGGCTCAAAAATGAAGAAGCGGTCAAAAGAGCAGGGCGTCCAAAAAGGGGATAAAAGGGGAAAAGGGCGGACTTCCCAGGACTTGGGGTTTTTATCCCTTCTCTAGAATGGGCTGTTCCCCTAAGGGCGTGGGACCACTTGATTGGCACCTGTGATTGACAAGAGGTACTGCGCAGGTGCGAGTAACTGGTCTGTCTGATCTAGTTGGGTATTTTGCACCCATTTGTTTCAGGGGTAGATAGTTACAATGAAAAGAAGTTTTGAGTTGAGAGGGGAGGTCACCGGGCGGTCACATTCTGTGGAACATGCAGGAATGCAGAGACCCAATGCCTGCCTCTAACTGCCTGCTTTGTTTTCCCCTTGAGAGACGTGATCCCCATAAAAGTCTCTATGGGAAGTTGAGGGACAGGAGGTCTCTTCTTCTGTATCTGCTTCCTGCTGGGCAGGGGTGTAGAGTTGTCCCTGCCTGTTGGGGGATTTACAGAATTCTCACACTAGCTGATCTCAGGTGAGAGGAAGGGGTCTCGAGCTCTGCCTGGAAGACCATTTTGGCTTCTTTGGTTGTGACTGGCAATCTAGTTGGGGTATCCTCTGTATCCCCAAGGTTCCTGATTGAGGAAAAGTAGATTTTAATTAATAAATCTGTTAGCTCTCTTGAAGCCTATGGCCATTCAGCCTGTTACTCAGGTGGCGTCAATTGTCTGAGCCCAGAATGGGTTTGGCATTCAGCTTATTGGCCTGGGAAATATTAGGAAGTCACAGACTTTCAAGTAGTTATCTGAAGCAGGGGTAGGAGATTTCTATTGTTTAGGATTTAGAAACTGATTTACAAAGCAATCAAGAAGCAGGAGTATAGGAGAATTCTAGGATTCAGGCTAGGAGCAATCTTTAGTCTAGGATTCACAGACTGATGAGAAGAGTAATCAAAGCCAGGGGCTAATAAACTAAGAAACTAGGGAGGAGACTTAACGTTTCTATACTTAACATTTCTATAGGAAAGAAAATTTAAGTCTTTGGTGGGGCAGGGGCACTCTCCTGGCCGGTAACAAGCCTAGTCTCTCAGTCTTTCTTTCATGCAAAGTTCAGTTTACAACTCGCATCATCACACACATTCTTCTTCTGGAGACAACAATGGAACGTCAGCATGCAGCACAGAATATTTGTTGCACAGATATTAAAATGATAGATACACAAAAGTTGAGATTTAATAACATTATTTTTTACTGCTCCATTAAGGACATCCAGAAGTGAAAGTGGTCACATTTTTTTAAACTGTAAATGGTGAAGAATACATTGGCTACAAATAAATATACTCTAGTGCCGTTTCCCTGATGCATGCTAAGTGCCCATCACTTTACCCACTATTGCTTTTGCACCATCAGTGCAAATGTAAGAAAGTAAATAACATCTTCAATTTGGGAGTATGAGTGTTTACTATAAAATTCTTTCAACTCTTCTGTATGTTTGGAAATTGTCATAATAAAATATTGGGAGGAAATATTGTGGAAAAGACAAGCTTTTCAATAAATTGTACAGGAACAATAAGAGCTCTATACAGTAATAGGAAAAAGATTGCTGTCTCATGATGTATTTTAAATGAATCCTAGATAGATTAAATACTACATTTAAAGGAAAGCTCTAAAAGTTTCAAACTGAAATGTAGTTAGAAATGTAGAGTTAGCATTGTTTTGTCCACTGATTTTTTTTTAAAGATTTTTATTGGGGAATTGGGGGGATGGGAACAGCCCTGGGGAACTGGGGGAAGGGGAACAGACAAGTTGCAGTCCCCCTGTTCCCCAGTCTAG